GCAGCGCCTCCCGAGGGCGACGCGGCGAGTGACGGGGTAGAAGCCCGCCGCGCGCCTCGGGGCGCACAGCGGGCAGAGAACCGCCGCGCGCCACGGGGCGCACGGCGGGCAGAAAACCGCCGCGCGCCTCGGGGCGCACGGCGGGAAGAAAAACTGCCGCACGCCACGGGGCGTGCGGCACAGAAGGTAGTAGTGGAAGTTGCAGCGGAAGCAACGAGGTGGTGAGCCCACCCACAGGATCGATCCAAGGGGATCGACCTGCTCTGATAGCATGTGAAAATAGTAGGAAGAAGAGAAGAAGGAGGGTTGCCCTAGCAAGAATGAGGATACAAATAGCAAACCCTAGAAGGGTTGTACTCGCTATAGAGCACCCCACTACAGGCTAGAGCATAATATTCTGACAGTTGGTTGTTTGAAACATCTCTGCGTGGAAAAAGAATGCCAAATTATAAGTATCACTGAGGTTATAGTGAGATGAAATGATACAAGTACGCATGAGCACAAAAAATAACCGCGGTTCGGTTCAGGGCGGTTCGGTTCGTTTTTACCCGAACCATACCGTTTTTCTTTTTTGCGGCCAGTTTTTGTTTTTTTTTTTTCAACAAATCGAACCGGTTCTTCTGTTCGGCCGGTTTGTTTTCAACAACTATCCGAGCCACGCCGAAGCTCCAGCTCCCTCATAGCGTAACATTGGTGTGTTTCCCACGGTTCTTTTTAAATAACAGCTCCTTTTTATGTTTCAGCCAGTGTAATTATAGTGAAATGTTCAAGGAGAGAAACTTGGAGGCCATGGTTGTGAGAGCAGAACTTCTATTGATTAGACTGTTAAGATACATTTGAGCAAGGAAGTTGGGAAAATCTAACCGACCCGACCCGTGGTTTAGGACGGGTCGGGTCAGGGATTTCAGAAATGTGCCCCGCCAGGGTTGGCCCGACCGGACCCGAGCTAAACCCCGACCCGAGTACAGAACTTGGGCCGAGTCAGGGCCGGGTTTTGGGCCAGGATTGACCCGACCCGATTTCAACTCTGTAGGGTTCGAAACCCCAGACAAATTTGATGTCGAGGATTAAAAAGTCCCTCGACATCAGAACCTTACCACGCGCCAAGTAGCCAAACTTCAGCCATTAATGTAACCTAAGCAAAGTTACTAGTTATTTTTCAGCCTACGAAACCATGTTTTCTGACATGTCTAGTTACTACAAAGACGTTACTCTGCATTTTAAGGAGACCGCGCTGGTGGGATAGTATACTCACGAGTTGGCGTTTTACTAGTGGGATTTCACCTTCGAGGCTGCACGCGCCATGTCTTAGAACAGCCACCGTTCATAAGTGGGCCCAGCGCATGAACTAGTATCATTTGTACTGATTGAGGGGCGCCGCATGCACAGCACTTTTCACTACAGCTGATACACACCCGTACCCCATAACAGGGAGGGTCAGCCTGGCCCGACCCAACCTGACCCGACCCGGGGTCGGGTCAGTTCTGACCCGAATGTCAAAACCCGGGTCGTGTCAGACCCTCCACAAGCTTGGCCCGAGGCCGGCCCGACCCGGGAACCCTTCTGGCCCAGCCAAGTCGGGTCGGGCCGGGCCACATGGTCATGACTAGGTGGAAGGGGGCGTCATAGACTATGAGAGAATTGGAGCTTGAAATAAAGCTACAACTCTCTCTGGTTTCAAGGTTTTATTCACACCCAAACTGGTTCGTTCGCACTAATCCGGTGGCTCAAGGACAATGGCTCAATTCAGATAAAAACAAACCAACTGCACAGAACCGAATCGTGGTTCCAGGATCAAGCACTAAGACGAGGAGAGGAAGGCCTGATGATAGTCTTGCGGGATTTGTTGTATGTATGAAAGTAGGGCAGTAAGTAAAACGTGATATTGTGATGGGAAATAGAATGGGGCACACTACACCAGGAAGAGTTTATCTGAGCACCACATTTTAAATTGGTGCTTTGCAAAAACTCTGATCAAGGGATCTAAATGGGTGCTTTGCAAAAGTCTTCAATGCATGCATTTACGTTTGTATCATGTCATCCCCTAATGTTGTTAGCTCACGCTTAACGTCAAAGAAGCTCCCCTGTGAGAGGAGACTGACAGCACTAGACTAGAGTAGAGTGTCACTAACAGGCAAAGAAGTTGGGCGAGTGTGCTGATGGCAGCAGGAATGCTGCCAGACAACTGGTTGCTTGAAACGGCTCTGAAATGAATCCAGATTATAAAATATCACTGGGGTTATAGTGACGTTGTAGCATACAAGAGAAGACCAGACTGAAGAGAGGAGGGACAGCGATGAGGTTGGGGAAGACCATGCAGAGGGTGATTAGCGAATGAAGATTGTCGTCCATTGGAGAAGACGAGACGAGGCAAAATGCTAGAAGAATGTGAGGCAACACGACTGTCGGAATAAAGATATTACGGCATCCACTTGCAGAAAATATATTGTGAGAAATTGATCACAAGAAAGAAGAGAAGATCTCAATGGAGGGAAAAGGAAGTGAACAATCAAAACAGGGAAGTGAAGGGAGATGGGGAAGAACTGAGGGAGATAAAAGAGGTCGTGATATACTGAAAAGGGGGGGGAAGAGTCCTGGGAGAGCACAGGAGATGTGAGAAGAACAACAAAAGCGTATCTTCTTACATAATTGTCAACTTGGTGAGGGCGCCAATGTCTGCCGGGATGGAGCCGTTGAGCT